AGGCTCCCGTGCAACCAGCCCCAAGAGGCACATTCGGGAAAACAAGCTGGCTGTGTGTGACACCATGTCCCAAGGAGCCATACAGGAATCCAGGCTCAGCCAGGACAGGGGATACACCTCCCCTTCCCCCACATCGGAGAGGCCCTGGGGGACAGCACTCAGGACTCAGCCCTGTCCAGGAGCCCAGTGGAAACCCACCCACAGGACATGAGCTGCAGACGGGAAAAGCCGGCCCCACACAGAGCTGGGTGCCACTTCTCAGGAAGGATGAACAGGTGCTCGGCCTGGAGGGTAGACCCCCACTATGGCAAGACGATGCCCTACTCTGATTGTCACAGGTCATTTCGGGGTTGCAGAAGCTGGCCTGTCCAGTTCTAGAATATCAAACATGGACAGGGACAGTTGTAGATGACGTAGGACCCTAAACAACAGGCCAGAATGTAGGGGGGGGCCAAGTCACAGCGCAGATCCAGGCTGAGGCCAGAGAAAAATGTTCCTGGAAGAACTCCAGAAGCTACCTCCCAGGTGGGGCGCCCCACTTCAGAGCGGCCGCCCGCGGTCAGTGCCCTGAAGGAGAGCTCAGCCTCCTTCAGCGGACCTCTGGCCAGGCTGGGAGCTGGACTGGTGGAACCTCTGGGCAGAAAGGATATCGGCCTAGCAGGTAGCCTTTCTGGAATATGAAGAATGCTGTGCCCGCTCCCCAGTCGTGACCCCACCCATCTGGTGGCACCTACGACTTAAGGTGGTGTCAACAGAAGTGAGAGAAGCCTGGTTCCAACGAGTTATCAGAGGAAACAGTATGTCGAGACGGAACGAGGCTGCAGAGGTAATTCCTGCAGGTGCAAGTGCCGGGCGAGCCTCGGGCACAGCGCGCAGGCGCAGAGACAAAGCTCAGCCGGCACCGAGGACGTCCCCCCGCAGCCCACGCAGAAACACCAGGGAGCATTCCAGAGGCAGCTCCCCCGGCCCAGCAGCGCAGACCTGATCTTTAACACACTGTGTCCTCTGCGTCCTTTCCTGAGCCGTCCGTGGCAGGGAGCCCGGCTTGGCTCCTGGCAGTGGTGGGGGGACACAGGGTCCCCTGCCTGACCCAGCCAGTGATGTCAGCAGCTCGGCAGCTCCAGGGGCCCGCAGGGCAGCCTCCTTTTCGGGGTTTATCTTTGCCTCTCTGTGCGGTCAGCGCTGTCTCAATCAAAGGAAGAGACTGTGCAACTACCTCAAAGCGGGTCTGTCTTAACTTCGTAGAAGCCGGGGGCCACCCTCTCTGCGTCCCTCTTCTCGTCCCCCTCACGGCCTCCCGTCCAAGCCACACCCTGCTACTGACTCCTCCGTCAGCGGGTCTCTTGCCTTCTCCACCAGTGAGTTTCTCGGGATCTCAGAAAGGGATCTTGCTCCCATCTGCCCCCGTGTCCCAGTGAGATAGTCCCCTTCAGGAGAAATGGCCCCGAACCCCTCGTAGCTGCCCTGGCCCAAAATCGAGGTGCCGTCTTCCTTGGTTCTCTGTCACATCCACCCCAACGGCCCCGTTCAGCTCCCCCAAATCCCACGACCCACCGGGCTCCCGCCCTGGTCTCCTTCCTTTCTCCCTGCCTCTGGCTCCGCCCCCGGCCAGTGTGGACCGCCCCCCCTCACAGCACCCTGCCTCTCTGAGGGGCCCGCAGGCCGCGATCTCCCTGAAAATGCCCCCAGGCTTTGACCTCCCTGGACCTCCTCCCTCAGCCGCTTGGCCTTCCAGGCGCTTTACCACACCTTGGTCTGTCGTCTGCGCAATCCGACTCCCCGCCAGACCTCTCTGCCTAGTGGTCCCTGGCGTCCACACCTGGCTGAGGCTGCTCACGGTAGTTCTTCGTTTTCTCTCTGGCTCAATCTTTTGTCGCTGGAGGGCGCTCACGGACAGCGAGGGCGCTCTAGGCTACTCTGCCTGGCTGGGGACAAGGCAGACGCAGGCTGCACGGAGGATTCCGGCGAGCGTGCTTCTCCTGGAACCCGAGTACGTCCAGCCATCGCTCGGCCCAGCCCACATGGGAGCCACAGGAAGACCTGAGCGCACGGGTTCCAGGGTCTGGCACAGTGGGGGAAGGATGGCTTCCGGGATGAGCAAACACCCTCGCCGCACATTGCCTTCCACCCCATCCTGGGGCCCCCCAACAGGACTTCCTAGTGAAGCGCCAGGCTCTGCGCTCTGGGTACCCGATCCCCCGGGATGTGCATTAGAGCAGATGGCGACCTGCGAACAGTGGATGGGGGCTCCTCCCAGCGCCCCCAGAGACCGTCCCTGCACCTGGAGCTCCAGGGCCCGCCGCATCCCAGCCCTGCCTGGCCCGGGTCCAAAGGTCTAATCCCGCAGGCCTCCGCGCTTCCGGCGGCAGGCTCGCTTTCCTAGACTGGTCATGGAGGTCAGCCCCCAGCCGCCCCCCTACCCCTGCCACGCTGAGCCTCGTGAACCCGGCTTAGATGAGCCTTCCTCAGCCCAGGGAACACGTCCTATCAGCCCTCTCCCCAGTCCCCTCTCCTCCCAGCCCCTGCCCGGCCTGAGTCCAGCTTCATTTCTGGGTGGGGGGCCCTGATCACAGTCCCCAGGGAGGTGGCCAGCCTTGGATGTGACTTGGGCAAGGCAGGCACTTCGGAGGCTCAGTCTCCTCACCTCTACCTCGGGGTCTTTGAGGGCTCACAGGGGGAGCACCAGAGACACCTGGTAGCACGTGCTCAGGGGAGTCCAGGACCCCGGAGTAGACAGGGGCAAACGTGGACAGTTCGGGTATCCGGGTTGGGTGTCGCAATGTTGGTGAGGCCACTGTGCAGTGCGCCCCTGGCAGGCGGAGGCTCAGAGCACTGGCCTCGGGGTGCCTGAGTCCCGCAGGCTCCAAGTCCTGAGTCTGCCCCAGCCCTTCCTGCCGGCTCCCGGTTCCGGGGGCCATGGGGAAGGGCGGTGGCTCCCACTCCTGTTCTTAGGGCCCCTCCAGCGCTTTCAGAAAAAGCAACCGTGGGAAAGAGGCTCCTGCCTCAGGGCGCACCGAGACGCGCCAGAGCCTCAGCGCCCAGTGGGCTCCATCCCCCCGCACCGGTAGGAAGACAGAGGCAGGCGCCTAGCCCCGCCGGCCTGCCCCGGGCGCCCCCGCGGCTTCTCCAAACCCGGTGGGGCTGCGGGCGGGGATGCAGGCCGCAGGGGATGCCGGTCGCCGCGCCTCTTGCGCGCATGGGCACCTGGACGCATGTGCCTTCATCGCACTGCCCAAGGGAGGAGGCTTGGGCCTGGCGACCCTGGGCTCTGGCAGCAGGGACCTGGCCCGCTGGGCCAGTAGTCGCCTCCGCCCCCCAAGACTTTGACCTTTGACTGGTTCAGGGACATCCGCGGTTTAAAGTGGTTGCTTGGGTCTCTACGGGGCCTTTTGGCACCTGGGAATCTCCTGCGTAAGTGAGAGAAATTTCCCAAAATCCGGCATAGACGTTGCTTCCTTGGCACCTGGGACAGTGCGGCACGGACCCAACCTGCACATCTCCGCGCAGCTGCAAACCATTTGGGGGTGTGGAGTCCCCGAATTAGTAAACTCTTGGGGTAAAACGATGCGTCAGACTCACGATGGTGGGGGCGTCGCGGGGAGATCCGGGGGAAGTGGGCTGGGCGGGGCCGAGGCCTTGGGAGGAGATTGCCCAAGCCGAGGTTGCGCTCTGCCCGCTTGCCCGCCCACGGAAGGCAGGGGCGAGGCCCTAATGGGCTGTCTCCACGGGTGACCTGGGTGACCGGGCGTGCGCTGTCCTGGGACTGCCCCAGAGCCCCACGCCCCTCCTTGGGCTGCGTTTCTTTCCTGTCCTCCCAACGCTCTCCCGGCTCCTTACTGGGCGGGATTCTGGGGTTTGGGTCCATTTGGTTTGGTTTTGTGTTTGATTAACTTGATTTATGGCAACACCTTTTGTAATTGTAGAACTGATCCGTGGCTGTAGTAGACTTTTCAGAAAATACAGAAAATTATTTTGAATGTTAAAACTCCTTTGATCCCATTGCTCAGAGATGCCCGCAGTGCATGGGGTCTAGGCGGAGCACGGGCGGGGGCGGGGGTGGGGCTGGGCCGTGCACGGAAGAGGGGAAGGAGCGTGGGGTCCGGCCGGTGCATAGGGCCAGCCCTTGCCAGCGTCTGCGTTTTCTCCGCCCCCCTCAGGCAGCCAGTTTAACGATATTCATTGTCCCCGAAGTGTGGAAAAACTTATGTCTTCCTGGTGACCACACAGCACACAGCCCGGGCCTCAGATCCATCCACCCGCCTGGGCCCGGGGACACAGCATTTGGGTGGGACCCTCCAGGAGGGGAAAACGTGGGGAGGGGGGGTGGCAGGAAAGGCTTCAGAGTCGCCTGTTGGGTGGGACAACACAGGCGTGTTCAGGGATGAGGCGGG